AGACATACAAATCCAGGGCAAATCTAGATCTAAGATGTGAAAATAAGTCTAGATCTGGGTCTAGCTGGATTTGGTCTAAATCCATTCTGATACCATCCCTACTACATGTGGGTTCTTCTACTAATGTACTTTCAAGTGGGTACTACATGTGGGTTCTACTAATGTACTTTCAAGTGGGTTCTACTAATAGACTCAACAAAAAGCTGAGCACTTTAATTACATGAATTTTATGAAACTATCTCCAACTATCATTTTGGTTTTGTTTTGGTAATTTTATTATTATTTTTTTAAAATTATCACTAACGTTACGTATTGGTTTTCTTTTTGTCATCATTCGTTAAAAAAATAACAGAATTGTTGTTGCATCATTTTTATTTTTTACAATGATGATGTGACATTACTTTATGATGACACATTAATATCATTGTTAAATTTTTAACGACAGTTATCAAAATGAAATCAAAATGCAATTTTATTGATGATTTTGAAAAGCGAAAATAGTTAGATGATTGAAACGAAATCAAAATTATAATTGAGTGACTAAATACGTAGTTTATCAACTATAAACCCATAACAATTATATAATTAGTGAGAAAATTAAAGATGAGTAGAAATTGCTAACTGAGAGCTGAATTTTTAATTATTTTTACATGGCTTTCGGACCAAAATTTTTCATGCAAACATCTCACGTTGCTTTGGATATTTCACTTTTAAACTTAGCTTGAAGCATCTACAGTGTTAATCTTAATATTCTAAGCGTTATCGATTTTGGCATAGTTATTGTTATCGTTCTCATCGTCTATTTTTATAAATTATCCAATTGTTTAGAATTTTTTGAATTTTCAATATTTAAAAATAATTTTATAATTTTTAAATATTGATTCTTTTAACTTTTATAAAAAAATCAATAATTTTAATAATACTTTTAGAGTTTTTTTTAAATTTTTTTAATTTTTATAATATTTCAATATTTATTATAATTGTAAATATTTTCAAATTTTTAGAATAGTTTAAAATTAAATTTTAGATTATATATATATTTCAGTATTTAAAAAATTAAAATATTAAAAATATTAAATTCCATAGAAGTTTAGGGTTTGTTTGGTTCAAGAAAATATACGCTATTTTCATTTTTATTACTTAGAAAATATAAAACATTGAAGAAAACATTTTTGGGGGTAAAATTAGAAAATGAAAACAAAAATAAGTGAAAATATGAAAACATAAAAAAGATGTTTTCAATATTTTCATTAAAATTTTGTTTTCAAAATTTAAAAAATAAAAAATACGAAATCTAGATTTTTAATTTAACTTACGCATGGTCAAATCTTTTTAACAATAATTTTTTGATTTAGTGGTATGTAAAACCCTCTAACTTTTGGGAAAAATCAATATGGTCCCTAAACTTTTTTTACACTCAATGTGGTCATTAAACTAATTATTTAATAATTTATTTTTATCATTTTTATATTTTATGTATTAAATATTTAATAAATATTTATATTTTATATTTTAAATTTAAACAACACTTTATTTTTAAAAAAATTAAATAAGACTTCAAACTTTCTAAAATATTAGCTAGGCTCTCAAACTTAGTAAAAATCAATTAAACTCATTTACCACATCGTTATCCATTGTTTATTGCCACAACAACATAATGAAGTGTCAAATCAACATGTAGATTATCATGTAAACTTTGTGAACTGTCATGTAATCTTCTTGACGGTTTGATTTAGTTGGTCAACAAATTAAGTAGATTTTTTGTGTTATGAAATTTCTTATCAATTTTTTTTTGCATAATTCACATGTTAAATTAATGTAATGAAATTTTTAATAATTATATTTTAATTTAATTATTTAATAACTATTTATTTATCTATATTTTTTAAAAAATAGACACCTAATATATTTTCACAATTTTTATATTTGAATTTAAGTTTTCATTTATATTAACCCAACATGTTTTCTAATTTAAAAAAAATAAAATAAAAACTATTTTCTAGAAATAAAAACAGAAAATATTTTTTAGAACCAAACCAACCCTTAATATTTTGAAACTAGAATAAAAAATTGGACGACCTACTGGACAGTTTACAATTAATGCCGTTAGAAGTTTAATGCTTTGTGAATAAAATGAATAATTTCTCTAATGAGATAATTTTTTGATGACCAAAATAAAACAAATACACCCTAAAAGTTATATGACCATCTAGTTAATTTACCGTAAATTTATTTGTAAAGGAAGATATTTATTCGATAAATGATTGATATCATATTAATAAATTCAATTATAAATTAATAGCACAATAACAAAATGTTATCATATTATTTAATAATTAATAATACACCAGTAAAAAATTAACCTATTATAAACCTTGGTCCTATAAAAGACCCAATTTCTTGAAAAGTGGAGCATAAAAATGAATATAAAACATGAAACTACTATAAATAAGGTTTAATATTAGTTTGTATTGAGGATTCATCACGTATACTTGTCTTTAATTAAAAAAAAGGTAATGTTTTTGTTTTATTTGTCCATACATGTACAAGCTAGGGTGCTAAAGCTCCTTTTGTTTGGTCATGGCGTGCAAGCGCCATAAGTGATGGCCCAGTCCACCTCAAATGTCTTCTCGGTGGAACTACATCCATGCAACGGTGAAAGAGGATTCACGATTGTGGGGTTAGCAGGTGCCCTAACGTGGATTGCTCAAACATTTCTTTTTTCAAGCTTGTTGATGGAAATGAAATGATCGTATTCACATCGTCATGAATGACACCGAAATTGATTGCAATCAAAGCACTATCGTTTTAATGCAAGGAAAACCCCATCCATCAATTGCGGGACAACGTGTTCGGAACTCGCGTGGGCACATAGTAACTAAGCTTTCATTGTCTCTGCGGTGAAGCTTTACCTAACAAATTAGAAATAAAAATAAATCACTATTACTTAAATAATAGTCTCTGAGTGCACACTCCTAAACCCATTGATATATAAATAATATAAATAATATATTAAAAATTTAAAAATTTTGATTAATTCGGTTAATTAAATAATTTCGAACAAAATTAACTGATAATCGAATTTAAAAAAAAATCATTAACTGTTAACCGACCGATTTACAAAAAAATCAATTTGGTTGGTTTAATCGGTTAACCGAAATTTTGAACTCCACTATTACTTACTTTATTCCTTATCATCTGATAACAAATGTCTATATAATAATCTTTAAAGAATCCATCAAGTTGTCTCAACGAGAATGCTATTCTCCCTAGAGATTATAAATTCGAACAACTGCGTATACAAAATATGTGCTCGTTGTCAATTAGTCAAGAAAATTCTAAACAGATACAACCTCCTAATCACTTATTATTAAAAAAATAATCCTCAAAAAATAAATCCAGAACATTTTGATTTAAAAAAAGGGTTGGAATTGTCAATAATACAAATTCATGCATGTTTACACGTAACATCTCATGATGATGCATAAAGAAAGTGTTAAAGGGACGAGTTATCCTCGTAAAACTCACTTTCTTTCTCCCGGCTCATCTTCTATTCTCTTAATCTAAATCTATTAAAATTAACTGCCGTGAAGCATAAACTCCTATACATGTACAACCAATATTGTTAAACCCTACTGCGTGCAATCATAGTGAAAATGAAATAAATGTCTCATGTGTATGGTGGGGGCTAACAATAATCCACGCATAGAGATGAAATAAAATGATGGATCGACCTTGACAAAGTCGTGTCATTTTTCCCATTTCAAGAACGCACGTATTAAATGCATTCCGGTCTGGCTTAAATGATTTTGAGTAATTGACCTCCACCTTCTGTATCGTTATTATCATTGGTATGTATAGGTTGTAAAAAGTGGTATGAATTAGGGTACACCAAAGGCAGCGTAAGAGGATCCAAAATAGAACTAATTCGTAACATGTATTCCAAATTATTAACCACCCAAGCACCGTCCTAATGATCTGCCTTTCTCTTCCTCATAAATCAATAAAACCTTGAAACATGGTCCCATGGTTTCATTATTTTTTGGCGTTATTTCGAATGGAGATGGATCAAAAAGAATGAATAAATAGACGTATTTTTATAAATTCATTTCTCTTACGATTTCATTAGTTCATTCCTAACACAAAATCACACTACAGACGCGTAAGTTCCTGTTTTCAAACACAACAGCAGTAAAATAACTATGCTACTGAGAGAAACAGCACCATTTCTCCTCCCATGCTAAGCATGTTGGTTTCTTAAAAATCTTAAATCGCAAGGATAACCATTACTTCTATGGGCTATTCAGATTTGGTGTTCGAAATTTACATATGCAAGAAATGGCATAGTTTGTCGGAATATAATTTTGCCTACTGATTAGAGCTGCCGAAAGGGAAGAAATGTTGAAACTTTAAAACGTGGAATAATAACCCTTTGTAGGGACATGAAAGCAAATAGCGTTTTACATTGAGAACACACAAAAAAAAAAGTTCTAATACGGTCCATTTGTTGGTGGAATGTCCCTCGAGAGGTGATTTTTCTTCACCTTCTTTTTTCCTCGAGGTATCATTCTAAATCCAAAGGCAATCCAGGTCCACCGGCTCACATTTTATACCCTGTTTGATTATTCTTCCCCATAGGGTCAAAACACAGATGCCGAAATTCCATAGTTTTTTCAATTTGGTTGACATAAAGAATATCAGCTGTAGATACCATGAAATTTGATAGCATTCAAGCCAATGTAGTGGTTGAGTAGTTGGTAACTGAAACGTGCAGACATAGTGTGTGTTCCGCCGCAGAGTATTCAATGGTTCCGACCAAAAACAGAAAATGGTATAACTTGGACAAAATGCATCAAAACCAAAGAAAATTCTTTGCCATAACAATCTGAAAAATAAACTGTCATTTATCATTCATTTTTTCCACAGTTATTGATCAAGACACCATAGGTTTACAGATTCATCCAAAATGAAAAACAAAATTCTTAAAAGAAACATTGAACCACTGCCCAAGAGATGATTATATTGTACTATTAATCATCTGTCTCTCTCTCTATACCCACCAAAGACAACTAAAACTTCACAATAAAAACAAGGAACACCACTAACCAGTAAACCGCAAATTGGAAAACGCTTAACCAATAGGCAAAAAACATGAACACATTTTCCCTGGTGCAGAAATTGCATGTCCTGGCCAAGCAAAGAAATCCCCATCGACTAAAGCTCCGCTTCCTTCCACATTGCTTGTCGCTTGCCATGAATTAGAACCAGTAGTTCCACCAACGGCATCACCTGTTTCTTCACCATCGCCGCCGCTATAACCACCGAGATAACCGTTTCCGGGATATCCCCAAACCACATCGAATTCTGAGCCAGCCCCAAGCCCGTATCCACCTAGTGTTAGGTACCCTTCTCCCTGGGAGTTCAAAAACGAAGTGAAGCTCCCATTGACAATAAGATCCATGGTTTCATTCAAATTCACTTCCGCCAAATCCACTTCAGGCTTATCTACGGTTCCAGGCATATCCGCCGGAACAGGTTTATTAACAGCCACATGGACAGAATCTACTTCGTGACTCACGCTCGAGGAATACGAAGTCACGACAGAGCTCCGGGAGCGCTTGGAAGTCTTGCGGGTCCCACCGCCGATGGGGACATCACGGAGGGTGCCACCCTGAGTCCAGTAACGGCGGCACGACTTGCAGAAGTAGCGAGGCTGGGAGAGGTTGTAGTTGTTGTAGTAGCAGAACTTGGTACTGGTCGAATCACACCTGGGGCACGGCAGTGGATCGGTGAGTTTGACCGGTGGGTGTGACCCCATGGTCCCCTGAACTCGAACCGGACGCCTGTCGCCGGAATCAGCAGGCATTTTCTGTCGGTTTAAGGACTTGGGAAGTGGAAAATGGTTGTTAAAGGTGAAATTTTTACGGCAGGGAAAGTGACAAGAGAGAGGAAAAGATTTTGAGGAAAGGAGATGTTTTGGAAGTTGAAAAAGAGACAATATCCGAGGATTTTTGTTAGTGTCGGAATACTCTGAGAGAGCGATAAGCGAAGGCAGAGCAACCGAGGACGCACAATAAATAAATAAAGGATTATTATTTTATTTGTAATTAATAATTTTTTTTTATTTGTAATTAATAAAAATTTTATTTTATTTTAATTTGACATCTTAAAATTAAAATTCTAACATTAAATTTTAAACATAATAAAATTTTAATCTTAAAATTTAAACTCGAAAATTTAAAAAATATTAATAAAAATATTTATGTAAATTAAAATTACATAATTTATGTATGTTATAATTTTTCATAAGCAAATAACTTATTTTATATCCAAATAAATTAGAAGGTGGTGTACGATGTTTGTAGCGTCTTCAGATATGGGCTCCGCATTGGATTGGTGTTTAAAGGGGTTTTTTTTTTGGCCCATTATGGATAACGGTTTTTTAGGCCATTACGGTACCTCAGTTTTTATTTTTGGAGAATATCACAAATGCTACGGTGATTGTAAAATTCGAGTTGATGAGTTCCATCTTATATATATTATTTTATTGGACTCAGATGAGTGGGTCTCACGCGGCCCATTATTTCAATTCAATTAGTGAGACTCATTTTCTTGAGGTGACGAGTTCATTAATTTTTTTTAATATTTATAAAATTATTTTTAAAATTTTAAAAGTTAAAAAAAATTAATGGCACTTGCCACCTTGAGGTGACGAGTTCCTTTGAATTAAAAAAAGTAGTTGTTGGACAAACCATCAATAAAAGCGGTCAATGGCAACATCACCACGAAACTCGTCATCTCGGGGTGACAAGTTCGACCGGATTAAATTTACAATAAATAAAGTAATTAAAAATTAAATTACTAATTTTATTAAAAAACAATGTTTACAAACTAAGTACATAATAACATTTATTTATATTTTCTAAGTTCTTAACGATGCCGAGGAGTGATCGAATGATAATGGCTAGGGACTTGTCAAGTACGTCGGGGCCGTCAGTCTTGATCGTCATCGTCGTCTTCATCTTCATCTTCATCTGGTTGTTCAGAATGAGGTGTACTTAACACACTTTGAGATCCACCTTCGAAATACGATGATGGAATATTTATGGTATTTGACACCATAATTGTCGTTATTGAATCGACTTGGCTACCTTGTTGACCATATATGATATGATTTCATTAACCTTTACCCATATGTTTTGTTGAAGATGCTTGAGTGTGTTGCATTGCATCCCACGAACCTCCAACCCAAATCAACTGAGTCTCGATTGAAGTATGATATGGAAGATAAAAAGCTGAAACTAGCCTGAGATGCATAATAGTATTCTTAAGAAGTAGATGCAGAAGAAGAAGAAGAAGAAGATGGCAATAATTTCTTTGACTTTTCGAATCTGGCCTTGTGTTGTTCCTATTCTCCCCTCTATTCCGGTGTCGTCAGATATGGTTTCCCATTTGCTTCGTTATTTCGGAGATAGGGAGAATGGTCTAAATCTAGGTCGATTGGTGTAATCTCGTAATGCATGGGGACCAATAGCTGATGTTGATTCCATTGCTCAATGTAGTAAGCATGCTTCCTCGACCGATTTTTGGTATGTTTCCCATGCGTATCAATTTTATAGAGCACGCCATTTCAATTATTTGCGTATGAATCGATTGATGAGACGTAAACTGTCACAACATTCTATCAGCGGTGTGCTCAACAATCACAAAACGTAATGGGCCAAAAAAACATGTAGGTGATTAAAGGATTTTATAATAGAAATTTGTAATTTTTTATTAATTTATTTATATATTAATTTAATTTAATTATTTATAAATTAAATATTAATAATTATATACAAATTTATATTAAGATTATTATAAAAAAATAATATTTTTATACACTAATGAAATTCTACTATATTACCAATTTTTAAGATTTAAAAATATTATTGTACATTCATTCGTATATACTAATTTTATTAACTCTAATTTAACTTCAATTAAATTATTTTAAAAACTAATTAATTAGGTTTACTTAAATCCAATTAAATTATAGATATGAATGAGTAAATGACATTTGCAAGTCTTAAAAAAATAATGTGAATTATGTGATGGTGTCTCATTGGTGTCTAAAAATCCTTAATTTTTAAGATTATTCTAATCTAATTAATCCCTTAAAGTAACAATAAATAAATTTTAGGTAACAATCTCAACTTGGTTTGGTCAGAACTTAGATCAATGATGTCACACAATTGATCGAAAATGATATCTTTTAACCTAAATTGAATATCTTATATAACGTTGTAAACGAGTCGAGTTTGAGTATTGCTAAGCTCGACTCGACTCGACTCAAAAATGTTGAAATAGAGCTCGACTCCGCTCGAAAACGTGCGAGCCTAAAATTTCCAAGCTCAACTTGAACTCGAAATCATGAATTGAAGCTCGTAAAAGCTTGAAAAAACTCGAAATAAAAAAATCTTAAACATAACTCGACTGAAACCTCAAACTTAAACTCGAACTTGAACCTTAAATACATGAAAACCTTATACTACATTAAAAAAACCAACACATAAATGTTAATATTATTAATAATTTATATTTTCTTGTAAAATAAAAAAATGATATATTATATTTTCGAGTTGCTCGTGAGCTTTTTGAGTCGAGTATCAAGTAGCTCGTTAAGAACTCGAGTCGAGCTCGAGTTTAAGTCGAATCCAATCGAGTTGAGTATTTATCAACCTTTGATCTAGTCAATCTCAAGTATTATCTCGTCTCATTACAACCCTAATCTTATATTTAATTAATCAATTTATAAATTTAGAATTTAAATGATTATTACTATCTCATAAATTCACATTAGGGACCTATATGAACAATCTAAAATACTTTGAAATTATTCAATATCACCATACATTAATTAGAGACTAAATTGTAAAGTCTTCAAAATTTGCCTCCACTGGTATCAATATTGTTCAAAGGTCATTGAGTCAATCAAAAGGGTGAAATATCCAAGAAGGGTTGAATTGACAAATAAAAATTTTGCTGGCAGCTTAAGGTATAAAGAAAAATGAACACAATAATTTTTAGAGTGGTTCGACTTTCTAAACCAAAGTTGACATCCACTACCTTAGCTATCCATACTAAGGATTTTCACAAATTCAATAATATGTCAACCTTTGAGGACAATATGTAACCTTACAACTCTCTTAAGAGTTATATTCCAATTCTTGAGACACTCTCTCAAAGAGAAAATTACAAATTTACAAACTTTGAAAAATCTCACAAGGAAATTATTTGCACAATTCAAGAACAAATAAGAACACTTGACAAATTAAACAAATGAGTACAAAAGTGTTCTTTGAAAGCAAAAAGAATATTGAAGAATGTTGACTTTGATTTTGGCTCAATGTGATTAGGGATGTGAAATCAGGTAATTATTCAGGTTTCAGTCGGATATTGTCAGATCAGGTCAAATCAGATACAAGTCGTGTTAAGTCAATTTGATGGATCGACTTGAATCAGGTCGAGTCTAGGTCAAATCAGATCGAATCATTTTCAGGTTTATTTGACATCAAATTCAGTTCGTATGAAATCCTCAAATCGATACGGGTGGCCCAGTTCGATTCAAGGTGCCATATTAAGGCCACCAGAGCGACCTACTCCGAAAAATCCTAGAAAAACAAAACTTTAACCAATAAAATTTTAAAGTAATAAAACAATCTTAATATATAAAAGTAAATTCAGACATTAAAATAGAATTCAGTAATACACGATGTAACAACAAGTTTCATACTCTAATATGAAAACAACTTGTAACTTACATGCCCCTTAATTACATGCGTTGTACTCCATAAACAATGCCGAGGTACTCCTAACTAATGTCAATAAGAGAACAAAATAATTTCCTTTAACTTGAAACAATAAGTCATAGAATGTGCTTTGGGAAAGCTTAGTAATACAGAACTACCAAAAGATACCAAAGTACCAACAAATATATGGTAATACATGAAACTTCCTTAGTGATACTGGTGTCTACAGCTTCCAGAAAAGTATTGAAAATCTATTAATTAATCATCAAAGTAACATTTGGGAAGTATATAGATCAAAATATGTTAGACAGAGGTATAAATTAGAGGTTGAGTTGGAGAGTTTTGTGTGTTCCATCTGTACAAAGAAAAATGTACATATAATTTATTTCAGCAAAACAGACTTTTAAAGAGATGATAAGTTTTAATTTTTAAAAAAATCATCTGACTACTCTCCATCCGAACACCAGAATATGTAGGTTCGCTTTAACCATACACCTACTTGTACACCCGATAAGGACCTTATACTTATAGCATAAGGGTCTACGGGAAGGACTTACCTTGTGCACAAAGCAAAGGAGCCTGCAGTAAGGACTTACCTTGAGCACAAAGTAGAGTAGCCTGCGGTAAGGACTTACCCAGTGCACAAAGCATATGAGCCTACAATAAGGACTTACAAGTCATAGACTAGGCATGAGACACTTTCTCCAATAGTAACCAACCTCAAATTAGAAAATCACGATCCAGATCGAAAAATAAAAATCAAAGATTGTGTTTTTATTTTATATAATAGAGTCATACGTCAAAAATTCAAAGAAAACAGTCTCACTCTTAAATAAGAGAAAGTAATCAAATGAACATGGAGCACACTAGATGGCCAATTTACTTTTAAGAATTATTTGATAATTATAAGAAAAGAGGAGACATAACTTCGGATAGATTTCAAACCGATTTCATAAATAAGGTCCATATTATTCGAGGTTCGATAGCTAACAAACCATACTAGAAATTTTTAGATCTGACACTTTAGGACCATTTTGAATTCATATACATCATAAGGGTAATTAGGAACCATGACATCAGGGCTATTCGAGATTTTAGATATATTAGAAACGATTATAATATTCAAGTATATTAGGGCATTTTAGTCATTTTGATTCTCAAAGAAACTTTGGTAAAATGACTTGATAATGATAAACGGTAATTTACAGTATTCAAGATTTCTACAGACTTAATCGACTCCCAAGTCCAATCGAA